TCCAGAGACAACTGGAAAACAGTGCGAGACTTCGTGGCTCACGAACTAAAACAGAAATCCACTACTAAAAGCAGAGAGAGAAAAAATACCATAGCGATTTGAAGAGATAAGCTCATGCTCTCAGCCAATCTTCTGCGTGAAGTAATATCTCAACGACGGATCCGCGAAGAAGGTACCACGGCCCATGTGAATCGAGCAGGTTAGGTTTTAGTCGGTATGCCACGCTGGAGAGTCCGACATAACCGGACTTACCGGTATGAGTAACGCATTTCCCCCTCCTCGGCAATAATAATAATAATAATAATAATAATAATAATAATAATAATAATAATAATAATAATAATAAAACCCCGGTGCAGCCATGCGTATTTTAATAAAGATAACTGGAACCAATCAGAATACGGCGCCCCGGTGAGCAACGACTATATAAGACAATCAGAGTCTGGCACAGTTCTCAGATCGGTTACTGCTGCTACAATGGCAGGTTTCTCGATTTGTGGGTTTGTTGTGAATTTGAACGTGGTGTTATAGTCGCCGAAAGAGATATAGGGCATAGCATCTCGGAGGTCGCGATGAAATTTAGGTTTTCTCGTACGATCATTTCACGAGCGCGCCGTGAATATCGGCAATCCTGTAAAACATCAAACCTCCGGCATCGTGCAAGAACAGGACCGACGACTGAGGAGAATCGTTACACGTAACAGAAGTACAACCTTTCCGCAATTTGCAGCCGATTTCATTGCTGGGCCAGCAACAAGTGTCAGCGTGCAAACCATACGAGACATTATCGATATGGGATTTGGAGCAGAAAGCCCACTCGTCTATCCTCGATGACTGCACGACACAAAGCTTTACGCCTTGCCTGGGCCCGTCAACACCGGCATTGTACTACTGATGACTGGAATCACGTTGCCTGGTTTGATGAGTCTCGTTTCGCATTGTTTGGAGCAGATGGACGTGTAGGCGAATGGCGACAACCTCATGAATTCATAGTTCTGCATGTCAACAGGGGGACTACTGTTCAACCTGGCTGGCTCTGTGATTGTATGCGACATGTGCAGATGGGTAATATGGGATCCCTGATACGTCTATATAAGACTCTGACAGGTGACACGTACGTAAACTATCTGATTACCTGCATCCATTCATGTCCAATCTGCATCCCAGCGAACTTGAGCAATTCCAGCAGGACAATGTGAGAGCCCACACATCCAGAATTCCTGCAAAGCGGCTCCAGGAACACTCTTCTGAAATTGAACACTTCCACTGGCCTCCAAAATAACCAGACATGAATATTATTGAGCATACTATCTGGGATGCCTTTCAACGTGCTGTTCAGAAGAGATCTCTAGCCCCCGCGTACTCTTACGAGGTTATGGACAGCCCTGCAGGATTCGTGGTGTCAATTCCAGCACTACTTCAGACATTAGTCGAGTCCATGCCACGTCGTATTGCGGCACTTCTGCGTGCTCGCGGGGACCCGACACTAATTAGGCAGATGTACCTGGTTTTTTTGGGCTCCTCAGTGTAGTGCAACGCGAACTATTCATAATAAAACGTAGAAGAGTTGCAAATATGTAAATATAGTTTAACATTGAAATGTACATACTGGTTTGACACATTACAAAATAATAGACACACAAATAAAAAACAATTTTTCATTTTCTGTTAATTTTGACGGTGCCTTCTTACTCTTTATTCTTGATATTTTCATTGCCTTCATTCACATTTCATTTCATTTTAGGAGCCCACAAGATGATTTTTTGGTGCCTAAACATCAGATGTCTTGTAATAATGTACCAATATCCTCAAATATGAATAAAATGAAACATTTTAAAACATGAAATAACATCCAGTACTTAGTGGACATTATCATTATCACAAATACCCAATTAGTGAACTCATTTTGGTTTTGGATTCTGTTGTGGACATGTCAAAGAGGCAAACGACACCATGAATATTAATCTCTTTAAACGTTGTACATAATGTTGATTTCAAGATATTTTCTGGCAAAAGCACTAGAATACACAAAGTAAAATCTGAGATATCTGCTGGGCATTTTAAAATTAATACAAAACACTTCAGAGCCAAATATGTAAATATTCAAAAGTTCTATAGTAGGAGAATATTGTAAAATTTGTGTCTCCAATCATTTTCAATTTAAATTTATTCAGGAGGGAAAAAGTCTGACATATTACTGCTGGATGTTCCCCAGTTTTAATACCATGTCCCTCAGATTGGGTCCAGATGATGATCATTGGCATATTCTAGCACATAGGCCTATAGTGTAACTAGAGCATTGCACATTTCAATGGTTCATATTTATTTAAAATAGTTACAGACTCTTCATACATATCCTCATGAATATGATCTATATAGTTAGAAAAGGTTGTAAGTTAAATTACATCTAAGTCATTGATTATTAACTTCAGTTGACTTTCTTACATTGATCTTAACTTGACAGCTTTGTAAAAAACATTCGTCTCATTGTAGATGATCAGCATCTTGTTTGATGATCATGTGGTTGCAGTCGTGAACAAACAAAACATTATTTACGTGTGAACATGATTGGTCAATCATTTATTATGTCAAAAACACTAGCAAGCCCATGTGGAATTTAGGAGTAATGTTCTAGATTTGTCAATGATATGAGTGTTTCCTTAAAATACTCTAGCACGTCTTATAATCATCAAGTTTTAATGTCGTTCTTTTATGAGAATATCTCAATTTGGAATATATTCCCGTTAATTTGAAACGGCCTTTGATGAAATGAAAGCAAGTATACTGTATTTTGAGATTTAATTTTTCAGTATGTTTTTGAGAAACTTCTCAAAGCCTTACTTCTTACATTTAAATATTGACAAAACATAACTGACTTACAGGCCTATTTTTAATGTATTATTTTTAACTTTTTTATAATATAGTAATTCAGAAAAATTGAGACAAACTGAAATTAGAAGAGATACGTTAACAATTCTTGCCTTAACTAGCTAGACCTCAGTGAAAAATCTGCACATTGTAAAGCATTGTTTTAAAGTGAAAATAGCTTAATACTATAATCCAACCCCAATTGTCAGCCCCAGTAAAGTGCATTACATCATGCCTGGTAATGAGCGAGAGTAAACATTCTAATACTGTTAAGCATTTATTAACAAAGAAAGGCATAGAACCATGTAATTAAATAACAAATAAAATTTGATTGTACAGGTATTTCAAGTCTGTATGTTTCTGGCAACCCATGCTACTGCGTGAAAGTACCTAAAAGAATTTAACATCCAAAAATGTAATAGATCAAAACAGGTCTCATCTTGATTACAACTTAAGAAATATAACACAGGCTTGGCATTAAACTTAGTTTTACAGTCCTAAAACAAATCATATCAGTTATGAACAAGAGACATGAGGAAATAAATGTGTAGTGTGTTGCTTGTGCACGTTGACATATTTAACAGAAGTTTCTTCTTAATTCTACATTTTAGCGAATTTCTTTAATGCAAATCCGAAGGTTATTAGCTACCACCCAAGAAAATTTGGAACATAACTATTACCATGCAAAGGTAACTACAATTCTTCATTCAGTGAGAGTCCTATTAAAATTAGTTCATTATTCTTCAGATTAGCTCAGATAAACAAAATGTTAAAAACATTTGTATAGGTTTTTGTGTTATGAAAATAATCATATGAGCTTATCAAAAGAATTATTTTGAAACCATAGACTTCAATTGTATGATATTAATGTAGTGTTCATTGACTGATAGATGATTCCCAGTATGACAACTGTTAAGGTCCTTAGTCCCTTAAGTGCAGAGCATGCTTCTATCATGGGAAGTGCTGGTGAGATCAGTGCCGATCTACATGGGCTTACAGGGATTTCCCCTCAACTAGCTATCTCCCACCAACATGACACCACCCCAGCTGGACAAGCTCTAAGCTCTTGAGATGTGTGGTAGTGTAGTGCATGCGAGTATGTATGTGGAGTAAGGAGGTGAGGTCAGGAAAAGGAAGAGGGAAAGATCATGTGGGATCCATTACATTTGTTAACGTACTGCTCTGGCGTTCGCTTGGAGTTGATCAAAGCAGCCAACTGCTAGAATTCTCTTCCAGACAGTGGCTGTATTCTAGGTAGTGTCGAAAATCCTGCCAATGTCAGGATTAGAAACCAAGGGCCTTCTGGTTAGAGGCATTGTAGTGCCATCAGATTATCCACTGAGCCATCTTTGCTGGTAATTTAGTGTACTATTTCAACAAATCCTTGCAAAGTTATGGACTATTCTTTCAAACGTCACTCCAATTCTGAAAATTATTACAGTTTAACTACCACCATCATATCGAGATATTGGTTAAGCTAGGAACTATAGTGTTTCCTGGAGATACGGCTTCAGAATTTCTCTCCAGAAGCAAGAGACTTTGTTATCACTGGTGGAAAAGTGTATAAATTTGGTGGCACGAGTTCAAAATTTTACGTTGCACTTAGAATTGTTATAGATATCACTTTACCAAATTTTAAAGATATTGAATGGGTGAAATTGTAAATATCCACACCTTACCAAAATAACTATCACCCAATACTCTCAAAGTTTGTTTAAATTAAAAACTAATCAATATTTGTCTATATGATATAATTTTGTATGATAGTGGTATCTTCGGATATTTAATGACAATGAAATCACAAAACCATTATTTTTGTCATCCATACAAAACACAGATTTTAAATATCCAGGGATACTACGGTCATTCAAAAATTCTTTTGATTTGAAATTTGTATAGTCTCAGTTAATAAAGGTGGGTACTTCATTTTCTTTTCCTAACACATTTTCTTAGAAGCATAACTACTTACATATGCTACCCAGGCATAAAACATGTGCAAGCAAAAATATTGTGAAACAGCCGTTAAAATGTTAAACAGTGCCAAGTGTAAGTCCTATTAACAAATTCTATAAGATTCAATGAAGTTTCAGCTCCTCTATTTGTCAGGTATCAAGATTGTATTACTTATTATTAAGTTCATTTTCTTATAAAAACCTTTATTTTCAAAACAAATAAATACAAAGCTATATCACAAATCATAAATGAATCATCAGATATCACAGATGAATAGTATTTTTTCTTAGAATAATCGAATAGAAATGTATGTCTTGGGGTGTAGAACTATTAAAAAAAGGAGACAAAGAAAAGGGTCAAAAGTTCTCAATAAACAACTTAAAAAAATAAAAGGGAAAAAGGAAATTTTGCAGCTTACTAAGTACATCTGGGCACGAAACTAAAAACTCCATATTTCTTCAGAATAAGAAATGCTCTGATGTAATCTGGCATTAGCAAATCAGTAAATAATATAATAATATTTTTTAAAGAAACATGACTACGATTCAACCTTTAACTGGTGGAATCATGAAGTGGTCCTAGATATCAATAGTCCAATTCAAAACATTTTGCTTTTTATTTATTTACGATGACTTTTTTCCTATGAAATTGTGAGTCCTGTTAACTGTAGCAATACCCCAGCGCTGTCACAATTTTTCACTTTAAAAAAATTTTCATTTTTTAACTCCCAGCTAAATGGTAATATTGTGTATAACCCGATTGTAAGCCGACCTTTCCCCCATTTTTTGAAGTTCAAAAATTAACCATCTGCTTAGAATCTGTGTCATTGTGTTGCTGCATTAGTTGACACCAGACATCCATAAAGATACTATTTTGCATTGGCCATCCAGCAGACACTGTAGAACGTACATAAACTACCTCCATTTATTGTGTTCAAAAGCAAGACGCTCCCAAAATTAGACATTTTCTAAGAGCGTTATTGTATGCGCACATGAAAAAGGGTGGTTTACGAAAGACAATGTTACAATGGGTTCAGTTGGTGTGGCACTGTCGCCCTGGCGCTTTGTTGAGGTTACATAGGCTCCTGGTTTTGGACTCGTGGCCCACACTACCGAGGCAGTGAAGGAATTGAAAGATCAGGGAACCAGCTTGGCTTAAAGGAGGACTAACGTCAATACTTCAACCCCTGGATGTGTGCATCAACAAACCATTCGAGGAGAAGTTGAAGAAAATGTATTCAAACTGGCTCCCCCAGGGCTCTTCAAAGAAGAAAGAATGCTCACGCCTACAGGGCGCATGAAACAGGCCAGTCTAACGCAAATGTGCGCTTGGATAGATGATGCCTGGAAGAGTTTTCCTAGAGAAATTGTCCAAGGGCTTTCAAAAAGTGTTCAATCTCAAATGCCCTTGATGGCAGCAAAGAGGCCTGTTTTCATGGACACAAGTGACCAAGCATCAACAGAGGAATCTTGAGTCATACGATGATGGTGTACGAGTCAATGATCCCAAAAATGAATTGAAATCAGTGGTCTGACTGCATTAAGCATTGAATGTATTTCTTAGGTTTAAACAAATAATATCAAAAATTACATTTCTGCTGAAATCATTTTTACCCCCTTTTGTTATTTTGTTCATTATTTCTTGGAGTCGGCTTATAATCGAGTAAATATGTAATTTGGAAACTATGTTCTAAATAGTCTTCCAAAAATTTAAGATGACATTCTTGTACTCCAATGAAAGATCTATTCAACAAATAAAATATTAAAACACTACTAATCTTGTATCAAACTTATAACTCAAAACTGACAAAATGAAATGCTATGTAATATACTGATAATACTATACATGTTAAAAGGGAGAAGAAAGTGTGATAAAGAGCTAACATAATTAGAAGAAAAGTTGTCTTAAAAACAAGATTAGTAATAAATCAACAAAAGTATTACAATTGTTGAAAATGAAATGCTAATTGTCACAAACAATATCATATCTTTCAAAAAAACTTAACTTCAATAAATGCTAACCAAAATTGCACAATTATATGGAAGTAACAATCTAATTAGGAGAGAGCATAGTTCTGGAAACCTTGTAAGACATATTGCAAAACTAGACATGAAGCAGAGAATTTTAAGCAATAGCATATTGTTATTCATTTAGATGAACATCACAGTTCCATTAATTGCATGAAGCACAAATACTGGCTGAACATGACTATTGCATTAAATAACTTGATTGTTTTGTCAGTCTTATAAAACCAACACCACAGTTTACTCTGTATCAATCACCAGAGGCCAAATAATTAATATTTTTTTATTTTCAGAATAAATATCCACAATTTCTAATATTCAAATGAGAAACATAAATTTTTATACTTGAAATTGCTACTTTTAGAACCGTGAGTTTTTTTAGACGTTGGTTGGATTTCGAAAAGAATGTAGTGGTATAAATATAGACATAATTGAAAACTATCACAATTGCAAAGTAAGGGAGATTGAGGCTAAATGTCACATCAACTTATTTCTAAAACTATCTGCTGAGGGATCACCTCAGTCATACTGTGAATGAAACTCAAGATTTCAACATCTACAGATTCTGAAACAGTTATGTCAAAAAATACTTTGAGTATTTATAAAAAATATATTTATAGCTATGGAAAAAACAACAATAAGTTTTTCCAAAGTTGTATTCTCAAGATTTTTAATCCAATTAAAATTCTGAGAGTGGAAGGTACTCCATTCAGTCATGGCCTGTGTAACTCACTAATATTATACATTTATAACACTTTTTTAAATAAGCAATCAAATAAAAAATATTGGTGGTCAAACAATCAGGGCAAAGTGGGCAATTGAATTTCTGTAGCTGACAAACAGAGGGCATACTGAAGCTGTAGAGAAAATAGAATTCTAGAGTTACACAATTAACTTCTCTAAAGACAAGATATCAGCATAAAACATTAGTCTACTATACACAATTTTACACACATTTTTATAAAATGCATTTCAGTAAGTAACCTTTTCAAAACAACATTTTGAGGTTGTATTAACATTTATAGACAATATGCACATTATTGCAATATTTTCTGTACATTGCCAATTTCATTTTATATTGTATGTACTATATTTAATAAATTTCTATAACAAAAAAGGAATAAATAAATAATTTTCCAATCCCCAAAAGATGTATTGTTATTTTAACCTACTGTCAGAAATTGAATCCTCATGAAATATTAACTGGAGGGAAACCACATTAGCCCGGAAATTTCACTATCTCAATATCTACATTTCTTTGATTTCCCAGAATTTCACTTAAAGAATAGGGAAATATGCCAAGAGGCTGTAAATGTAATTCAGCCAAACCTTCACTCCGACGAATACAACTTATTTCACCAAAATTATTTATTTGCTATGTGAAAAGCAAAACCGATAAGAATGATGAAGGGGGAGAGGGGTGATTGCAAGAGAGGGGGAGAGAGAGTAGAGGGACCAAATCAGCTCTGTTACAATCTCCCTTACTTCATAAGCTTGTACAACTAGCACTTGAAAACATTACCACAATATAAAAACTTCTAAACATGATATAAGTTGATACATGATGATGCTTATTTTGAAATTAACATAATTTAAATGAAGATGAAAAATATAGTAATATTAATAATATTTCTCCACGAAGTTGTTCATGCGGCTTCTGATGAAGCTGTTTCTGTAAACAATCAAAGCACATTAATTTAAACATAGCAACATGTAGTTTTCAAAGAACTGGGAATTTAAAATTCCATTCACTCAACTTGCATTGCAGAAAATCAGTCTATTTACCTTCATCATTACTGTTTTGGCTATTAGATGCTTGTATTTGCTCAATTTGATGATCAGGTGTTTGTTCTTCATTGTTTGGTTTGGCATCATCTGCTTGACTTTGACCTCCTTCATTTATCTTTGGTTGAAAAAATTTTGTAATTTCTTTCTGCCACTTTGGAGTTTCTCTTGGGCAATATGGATTACCGCCACCTCCACCATTACTACTGCTGCTGCTGGGTTCTGTGGAAAAAATAAATTTGCATAAGTATCATGGATAAACAAATGATTTTCAACTTTTGGTTCCTGAGCATTATGAAAATTGCAGTGTGTGTGCCTATTTTTTACATTCATATATAAGAAAATGAAGAAAGAACTAATCCAGATTTCCTGGAGAAATTAGTGTATGATAATTTCATTATGAAACATTAGCCAGCATGGTAAGCTGAAAAAAATATTTGTGCACAGTAAAATTTCAGTTTACATTATGTAACATGAAAAAGTGATTTTGAATTCTGATTATTTTGATCTTTAAAAAAAGAAGCCAAATAGAAATTTAAATAAAATTCAAGAATGGAAAAAAATTAACATAAACAATATTGCTAAAACTAGTAAGAGACAAATTTTAGTAGACAGAAAGTATCTTGGCAATTCATAATACACTAACACTAAGCTATTATCTCGTTCATCAGAATAATTTTCCCCTAGAGCCATCATTAAAATGACAATATACTGAATAATTATAAACTCTTCCATTGCCATGCGGCTCCAAACTCTAATAAACAGGAAATTTCCACGTTATGATTTGGAAAACATTTGACATCACCCTGAAGAACTGCCTTCTTTTCTTAAAGCTTCCAGAAGGATTTCCACTATTACCTTGACAGTACATAAAAGTACTACCCAAGCTGCAGAGGTAGTTACCTCAAAAGCCAGAGGCAGTTCCAGCGAGAATCACACTGGAGGTCCATGCTAGGCTACTACGAGAAGCCGAGCAGAAGATGTCAGTGACGAGCCCTGCCCCAGTGCCACTGAGGAAGAAATGGATTAAAAATCACAAGCAGCTGCCTTCGTCGAACTCGACTCCCCCACCTCGTCGTCTTAGTATGTTTTTCATTTTTTTCCGTCCCTGACTTTCCAGCATTTCTTTAGCCTTTCTCTTTTATAGTATAACTACTTTCTTATTACTAAGTAAATTTTCAACTATTTGGCTTAGTCTTCTATCATCTGACAGTGTAATGGCCTTGGCTCAGTCACTTCAATTACAGCAGGGTCAATATCCATTTGTTTTGACATTTTAATTAATTGCATTACTCCCCTAAACCTAAGCCAGGAATTCATTTATGTAGCTCAACTTTTTGATCACACTAATTACTTCACATTCTCTTCCATAAACAGCAGCAGTTTTTTCATCATCATCATCATCATCATCATCATATATTACAGGCTGACGAGCGTGTTCCCTCACAGTTTCCCAGTAGACCTGATAGTTATCTAGTCCTCAGGGGTTCAGTAAACCTTTTCTTTTGTGGTCACCTTATGCCTCTTGGCACTAAACGTTTATAATTCAATCTGTTTATGTTAGAAAACCACTTCTTCTGACCTTCATTTCTACAACATGCTTTGTTTTAAGTAGTTTACTAATATTGTCCCTTCTTCGCTGACCCTGTAACATGAATTCTATAAGACAGTGTAGAAATCTCATCTGCATGGTGTTCAGGCTTTGACAATCCCTATTTTTTCATTGTCCAAACTTCTAATCCAAACAAGAGACTTTATTAGAAATCATACTAACAATTCTTAATTTGGACTTTGAGTCCTATCCCATCTGAAATGATGTTCAATTAGTTCATTTGTTCAATTGTACTTCTGGATTTTGTTTCGTGTCCTCTGACATCTGTCCAATGCTATAGCCGAAATAATTAAATTTGAAACCTTCATCTTATTAGCACAATAATGACAATTTTGACACTACTCATTTCTTTCCCTTAACAAGCCATTCGACGATATTACAATTAATTTCCTGCAATTTATAGGAAGTGTTTTGATTCTAATAAATCAACATCATCTGAATAAAGGATTGTTCTCTGTCTTTTACTGAGATTTATTCTCCATTTTGTTTCAATTCCTTGATGATATGGCCGGCATATTTATTGAACAGGCATGATAACAGGCCACATCCCTGGCTTAATCTTGTCTGTTCTGAAGGATTTTGACACATTTCCATTATTCATGTTTATACTCCATCTGTGATTCTGCTTCTGAATTCCTTTTCTTATTTCTAAAGGTACCTTTTGTGCTTCCAGTATTTCCTACATTAATTGCCTATTTACTATATAACACACCTTTTTTAAGTCTTATAAACACTAGATACATTTGCAAATTCCTTTCAGTGCATCTGTCCAGGATTGTTTGAATTGTAAGTATGGCTTCTTTTGTGTATGGCGATTTTAAAACTAATTCTTCGCGGAAACGTGAAGTGTCTCTACAGCAATGTCCCAAATTTCTACCAATCATTTCTTTCTATTTGCCATGTTAATCTTTTTGTTTCTGCACTATTCTATGCAATCATATGTGTGACTGTAGATACTACTTCTGATATGCTTTCTTCTTCTTGTTAATCGAATTCTGAATTTCTTTATTCCAGTTTCTTAACCATTTTGTTTTGTGATGTTTTGAATCTTTAAGTTCCTTCAGCCATTTCTTTGATGGACTCTTTTAAAGTGGCACAGAAACCTTCCACCTTCTTTTTGTCTATTCTTTACAGTTTCTCTTAAAGATCATTTTTGAACTGATGTCTAATGCTGCTCTCTTCTAGCCCAGTCAAATTAAACCAAACAATGACGATCAAAGGAACCTCCTGGAGATTCGAAAGTTGGCATGATTGTTTGTTGTACCTACTGCATTACATATTGAAAATCCTGAAGTGTGGGGGCTGATTCTTATAACATTAATTAAGAGACTGTGTTGTAGATCAAAAAGCTTACAATTTGTGTTTGAAATATGTAGAATATACATTTATAAAATGCTAAATTCTCATGTAACAAAATTTTGTAACATTTTAGATTGCAACATTTATATTTGAATAAATACTTCATATTTTTCAATTTTTTTGGGGGGGTATTATTAAAACAACTTGGGTGGGTACCAGTTCTTCTGTTGGTTGGTAATGCCTAGGGTAGTGGCCTCATATTCCATTTCATTATTTTTAGGCTCTTCTTCTGGTTCCGATTGGCCCACTCCCGGATCTTTTTGGGATTTTCACTATTTTGATTTTCATTGTTATTCTGTTGCGCTTGTAAATTTTGGTTCTATGCCATATCTAGTTAATTTGTATTTATTTATCTGACATTTTTTTCCCTACATGCATCCTTTCCTTTCTTTTTTCTGACACTGAGTATAAGAAAGGACTCTCTTAATTTGGAGCCCTCTTTACATTTTGATCTCATTATAATTACCTTCGATTCTATAGCACTTCGATACCGGCGATTCTATAGCACTTCTTGGGCAATAGTTTAGTAAATTTAGAATTTGCCTTTTAGGAAACCTTTGGACATCAGTAAATACTATTTTAACTGTCAGGCAGTTTTACCCAAGGTTATTCTATTGTTTACTTCAGGTCCAATCTTGCTTTTTATCCTATTTGTAACCTATCCAACATCTGGTATTATTTCTTAATCTGTAATTAAATATTTAACTTCCTGGAGGGTTGATGATGTTAAATAAATATATTGCCATTTACTAAATTGTCAAATTACTTACAATTGCATTACCCTACCTAGTACAGTAATGAAAACAAAAGGATAACAATGGTGAAATAATTATCAATATTTAAAATACACTTAATAGATTAATTTACAATAATATTGTGGAAGGCTATGAGAGTAAGTGCAATCTATTAACACCAAACCACTTTTGCTCTCACAGACTTGCAATAATTCTGAACAGTATCTCCTAGTAATATTAACTTACTGAGTTTATGCAGAATCTTCCCACAAGATAACTTTTAAATTCTTTTAATCTTTTGTGAGATCGCTAAAGAACAGTGCTACATTGTAATAAAAGTTCTTTTGTTAATTTTATTAGTAATAGTTGTAATAATAAAGATATTCATAAATATTGCAATATGAAGACAGCTCTATTAATGAACATCTTGATTTAATAGAAGATACTACCTTTTTATGCACATAGATAATTCTGAAGGTATTTCATTCATTAATTAGTAATTAATGTTTAAGGGTCCTTCAACTGTTGATGTTATCCAAGGCCCAAGAATAATGAGTAGAAGAGAATAATAATGCTGATGGAGAATTGATTGAAAGAGGAAGAACCTGAAAAAAAGCTGCAGAAAGCTCACTTTGTCCACTAAAAATTGCATATGAATTGACCATCGACCAAACCTGGGCCCCAGCAGTGGAGTGCACTAGCCATTACGACGTGAGTCCCCACTAAATGCATTTTGGGTCACAACTATCAAGATTTCACATTTTATAATAATGTGTCTTCAAAACTGATGGAGGAGATGATCAAAAGTGTACAAGACTTAATATATCATTCCTTATCATCGTTCTATTAATTTTTATATTACTTGTATTTCTGTACTATATTTAGTCTTTCTGAAATATCCGTATTGAATATTGTATAATGTACATATCTTGCCTTGTCATACATGGGTTATGCTGTATTTATGTGACAATTATATTATTATTTAAGAAATTTAGTCTAGTTTTACTGATCCAGAATTCTGAAGTGGAGAACTCTGAATACAAACAACCATACTAGCGGGTATTAAAAGCCAAGACACACATGCCAATATGTAGATACAAGACCGCCCTCACGCCGTATTCCCATCCATTTGGAAAGCACTTCTTATGCTGCAATTGTGCAATTTCATTTCAAATAACTTATGAAGTCATCACTCATAATTTGCTAATGAGAAGTAAATAAAAGTCTTATGACCATTATTTTTGCAATGTTAATAAGTAAAATTCTAACTGCAATTTATGATATTCATACTAATTTTCTCAAAACATGAAATAAATTGTGAACTTGCAAGCATTTCTTTAGTGAAGGCTCTTGTGCCAATATGTTGCTCTTCTATCCTCCTCAGCAAGATTACAATTTTCAGGCTACTTCTAACAATGTTGATTAAACTTGAGCCATTAACTCTGATTCCATGGCAACTGCAAGGAGCAGCTCTTTCGAAAGAAAAGAAAAGAATCTTTACATAGAGAACTGCCAAATTTCCTCAAATGGGTGGCTTTGCTACCAAATTTCTCATGCCTTACTGATAATGAATCTATATAAGGATTATTCTTCATCAATGCTGTGTCTTCAATATAAGTTTAAAAATGAACTTTTTAAAATAACCCAATTCAGCATTATGCAATGCATGCACCCCAATTCACTCTCAGTAGAAATAAAAACCTAGAATGTAGATATCTTACAACATACCTTCAACAATAATGCTATTTTCACTAATTATTCTTTTCTACATCAATAACAATGCCTTACATAAATTGAAGAGCAGTTAATGTTTCAGAACTCTATTTTTCATTTAGTTATAATGCAAACCCATAATTTACAGAAATATACTCAAGATGTTTTGCAATAATTGTAAGAAATGTACATACTTATGAACCTAAATAAGTTCACGAATGTTTAACATACCCTAAAAATTAAAATTGTTTAAATATGAATTGTAAATATTTAAAGAAAACTGATGTATTAATGGATGATCAAATATGATTTTTCTAATTCAGAGATGTTAAATTTATTAGAAAATTTCTCGTGAACTCAATTAAAGACATGAGATCTAAAAAGGATACAAGTGCAATTTCTGTTAACTTTACTTTTTAACCACAATAATGAATAATGAATCAAGCCCTATACCATAAATAGTGTTATACGATGATTATAAACAACATGAGTTGTATGTGCCAATAGGAATAATATATAAACTTATTTTTCTCGAAAGTATGAAAATGGAACCAACTTCCTTTTTTTATTTTAAGCCTTCAATTATCCTAGTTTACTTCCCAATATGAAAGAAGCACTTACTCTTGGCAGTGGCACTAGGATTAACATGGATTTTGCGAGGGGCCTTTGCTCCAGACACTGAAAACGATTAAATCACAATAAAATAACGGTAACGTAGGTCTATCAACTCAAAATTTGTTCACAATACACGTTACCTCGAGCTGTGGCAGCATCAGCTTTGGTCCGCACCATTGTTGAGTGACAAAATAATGTTGTTTTCTTCCAACCACCACTTAGAAAAACCAATCACCTAACCAACGTATTGATATGTATTGAGTGTAAGAGCACACGCAACCTCCAGCAACAAATAGCTTCGAACACAATTCACGCGCTTGTCACATCAGACGACATTCCCGCCAATCTTCCAGGACTGTTCTACACGTGACTTGGGAAGGCTGTTGAGGGCAGCACCACCGACTCAGGGTGGCAACTGTCAGACCGCATAGGATGCCGCGAACTAAGGATAAAAATACGATGTGTCGATTGTTTTTAAATGAATTGAGATATTTCTTCGTTAGAGATTTTCCTCTACCTAAGTGGTCTTGAAAATGTTTTTGTTTTGTGTAGGTACACTTTTTCGCAGTGAGAAATTTATTTATCTTTGATATAAAATTGTATTTTCACAATAACCAAGTTGTGTGCAGCAGTGGACGTCAGACTAATTGTGTTCACTTCTACTTCTGCAGTTACCCTATTCACAGTTTTGCGGGCGAATCTTTATAAACATTAAGAGGTGATTGTTTGGTATGTTTATGTGAGCCAGGTGTTAGTAACGTTTTAATAAGAATAAGTTGTTATATTCATTTGAAAATCGGTATTTGCACGCTTAAGAATGTAAATGTGAGAAGTCGAACGTAAGAATGTAAATGCTTCTGTAGGATTTCTCTCAGTTTGGTTTTCTCCGTATTTACCCGAAGTCCTTCAAGTTCATTAAGTTCCAAGGGAATACTGTTTGTAGGTTTTTCAAATGTATTTTTAAAAATACGTTAATACGGATGCAAATTAAATGAAATCTGTCATGCTGTGATTCACTTGTCGCATTCGATGTTACCTACATAGATCTATTTGGGTGGCGTTGGTTTAATTCGCGACATACACTAAGATGGCAGCACTAAAACACGTAAAACACGTTTATGGAAATTTCTTAAAATCTTCTGATCGTATCCAAAAACATAGTACCAGGAAACCGAGACGCTTTGAGTAACACATCATAAGTTTCGATTGGTGAAAGGGAAGTGGTCTAAATGTGAGTGACGGATCCGCACACACGCACACTCTAGTTACTCGAATACTGCACAGGATTTTTTTTCTCAAAATACAGAAGAAAGTAAATCTTTTATAATAGAAATTTGAAGATCCGGAAATGAAATGTCTAAATTAATATATTTTTTAATTTGTCCAAACATTGGCGGGGAGGGGCAGTTGCCCCTCTTGCCTCTTAAGGCCCATTCACAATGCAAACTTAAACATAAGCATGGCGCGTAGACATAAACATTAACATATTTCGAGATATGGGCTGTGTCCATGAACCATTAGTTTGTCTATCGACTTCGCTATTTCGATTCTCGATTTTGAGTTAATGTACTGTAATTGGTTCATTTCTTATGTCTTACTTAAGAATAAGCACGGAAGCTTGAAGCTTGCAAGCTTTTAAGTTAACGTCTTACGTATTAAGCTTATGCGAACGCATTGTGAATGTGTCCGCTTGTAGACGTAGTCCTAACTTTTATCTTAACGCCTTGCTTATGTTTGTTTGCATTGTGAATGGGCCTTTACGCTACGGCGGGAACTCCCCTGATGCTACCCCTCCGCCAGCGCCCTTGTATTGGAGGCTCCGGTGAGCGATTTCCCGCGGCTCTTCCCCATTATCGGGCTTTTGAGCGCGCCCCTCCGGAACACCACTCCGGCAGCCGCGCTCAGCGAAGCACAGAGCGCGGCGATGTCAGCGCTCCCTGCCACGCTGCAATTGAGGCTGCCAGCGCGGGGTTTTCAAACTGCCAGCCGTACCACAGTTCAGTGTTCGAACAATGGGTACGCTGATTGTAGCATCGTTATCCAGTAGACTACCTCTCGCCTAAGAGATGACCCCTTTGTCCTAGTATTTTCTGCACTTGTATTCGTATCTGAAGTGTTCATCAAATCCACATAGTCCACTTTGAACGTTTTGTGGAATTTAGTGAAAAGAGTATACCTTAATAAACTGTTTTTAAAATTTTGTTCTGCATATTAATATGAGTTATTATTGAGCTACATTAACCTATTTAATATGATGTTTTTAACTTAATAAGGTAAACAAACTCGTAATTATGACTTTAAAAACGGACATATTCTTATTTGATTGCATTTAATGGACGTGTTCTCTTTTGATTGAACGTGCATTGAACATGTTTGCTTTTGTTAGATTCAAAGAAAACAACTTACTGTTTAATATAACACTATATAACACTGTTTAATATAACACTGTATTAATATAACACTTCTTTATTGTTAAAATCTAAATAAATACCACCAAAATTGTTAGTTGCACCATTTATAACTCAAGAACGACTGGACCAATTTTAATTATCTCTGAATTATTGGATTCATTTTCGCTCCGAATAGATGAATAACTATTAATACATCGGAAGATAAGAACTTAATATTCACGTCAAATGCAACCCGCAACACTCTGTAGGATTTTTGACTCTATATCGTTAGAAAACTCCTGAACGAAACGTTTTAGGGCATTAGGAAGTAAAATTTTGAGGAAACGTTTCTCTCGGCATAATCTTCAGAATGATATCTTCTTGAACATTCTATTACATTTTTGCTGGTCCGACACATCTCGATATTACCCACATGCTCAGAGAAGTGCAAAATCTGCAACTAAATGTGTATGAGAGGGTTAGCGAGAAGTAGAGAAAGAGACAGAGAGAGAGCGTCAGATAGACTGAGAGAGACGAAGAGAAAGTGAGACAGAGAGGGAGAGGAAAAGGGAGAGAGAGAGAGAGAGAGAGAGAGGGAGAGAGAGGGAGACAGGGATAGGGAAGAATAATTAAGCAGATGAAGGGCAGAACAACGTCTATTGGGTATCACTAGTAATAGAATGAAAATGACTTTAAAGGCATCAGAAACACAGCAGTCATATGCAGTCCAACATTAGGTTCTAAACAGTCACGTTTATTTGATCTCTTTTCTTCATCATAATCTTTGTATTCACACGCACCTTCCGGCAAAATGGTCTTATACAAGGGAAGAGGGTAATTTTTTTCCAGACATCCTCATACATAGTAACTAGCAACGACTCGATATCCTTATTCTTTGCTGCTTTTTCTTCATTTCTACGTGGTAGTGTTACTACAGGAATTGAGAAAGCTTTTGCAGATGGCCAGCCCTTTTTCTGAATGTTTCAAAGTCATTTTCAAATTTTAAGAATTGTGCTCCTATAACTTTTAGAAACGCCATTTCACGATTACAATTGTTGGTGCATTTCTCTTCCTTCATGTAAATTCGTTTTTTCTCAGACCTCATCTTAATGTTTTTTAAAGCTTTGGGATAAACCTTTAGCACCAATCAGTGACCAGTTTTCATTTAGCTTACGTACTTCTCCAACAGTCTCGTAGAAACCATAATACTCTTCTTTCGTTGCTATGGCTGGGTGTTTTCTAAGCAACGTCTTCACTCTACCAAAAACCCTATCAGCTGGAAGAAAACACTGTCCTCGATGTTGTTTCTCACTGTTTCTAAATAATACATTAATGTGTGAGTAAGTATATTGGTCTTATTCTGTCCATCACAGACTATCACCGATTTCGTTGGTATACTAAACCTACTTTTTCAGCGATTTTATTGGATTTTTTATCTGGTCATCCAACCTGGATGAAAATTGGATTTATCTATAATTTATTTGATAGAAGTATTAAATTATCATATCATCAGTTTCATACTGATAATCTTTTAAAGTTAAGCAAATCCTTTTGGAAAACCATTACCCAGAGAAATTCATACTGAAATATATTAACAAACGGGTCAATAAAATTTTAAAAGTTCCGCCCAACAGTCTGGCCAACCATTCCAGTGAATCCATTGAAAGTCCTTTCAACGTAATTATTCCATCTGTAAAAACCACTGTTCACACCATCACATTAACTGTTAAAATGAAAGTGCAATATCAACATTAAAAGCACAATAATTAAAAAACAATATTATAAGAAATGTTGAAGATAAAATACCTAAACATCATATGATAGATACAGTCTATGCACTTCAATGCAATTATTGTCAGTTGAATTATATTGGCCAAACAAAGTGAAGAATGAAGCAGAGAATAACAGAACATAGAAAAAATATTAATGAGGTTACAAATAGACAAAATTCAATACCTCAACACAGAATTAACCTAAAACATTCAATAAAGTTTGATCAGTTTCGTATTTTAGCGGTAGAAGCCAACAGAAATAAAAGATTAATACTAGAAACATTAAACATAAAAAATAAGAATATCATGAATACAGTTATAAAATCCAATCAATATACAAAAATGTATATTGATTCTGTGTTGAGGTATTGAATTTTGTCTATTTGTAACCTCATTAATATTTTTTCTATGTTCTGTTATTCTATGCTAAATATTTTTCGACAATAACACCTCCCTTTTTTAACATTAGGATCAAACCTTTCTAAATTGCACCTTCAACTATCTCCTAATTTCCGTTATTCCTCCACTATCAGCGACTCAATTTAAACGTTCAACTGTAATGTGTCTGGACAGCAATCTTAATAATAATACCATTCATCTTTACGGTTACTTGTAGAAGCGATCAAAATGTTGCAAAGACGATCTGATATATTACACGTGTTCCCAAGACCATAATGTGCTCATTAGTTACTAAACACTAGCGCTAACGCACTCGTGAATAATCAACTAACTTGCACATAATGATCTATTTCAGCCTCATGTAAAATAAAATACTATTATTGAAGAGCGTGTAAAAAAATTAATGCACGTTGAGAGCTAAATAGTAATTGTACAGAGGTAAAAGACTTCAGTAATTCATGCACATGAAATTAAATTGTCATTAAATTTTGTATACGTAATGTTGCTTTGATGTTTCGTTAATATGAAATGTGTAATAAGAAAAGTGTTAGAAAAGCGCATAGATGGCTGTGTCGAAGTTTTTTTTTCAGAAATCGAGGAGTGGTGGTTTCGATTCCCAGTCTGCGTATATAATATATAAATTAATTTAGGGTATTACTAAATAAATGAGGGTATTAGCTAACAATAGTAGGTTATAGAGCGATGCGTCAGTAATATATTGTGAAGCGAGGTGTCGTGCTGTGTAGAACAGAGAAATAATGTAAGAAGTGATTAAAGGGTCATAGTGAAGTGAAGTGAAGTGAAGTTGAACAAAAATTCAGTGTGGAGTTTGATTATGATGTTTCTTTTTTTAAGGTAATTTTAAATCT